ATTCTATGAATGCTGCGTTCCATGGCCAAATCGGTGGCGGTTAATGTTAATTGGCGCATTTTGCTGATGTTTATTGAATATTATTATGATGTTTATGGCTTTTGGCTGTTATTGTCATGCTGACAAATTAGTTTCACACTTTGCCGGCAACGCCAACGCCCCAAAACCAAAGCTAAAGCTGAAGCTGTAGCTGAAGCCAGAGACACCCACTCACCCATTCATCCATCCAAACAACCATCCGTCCCACAAAAAACCAAACCGACTAGACATCCATCCAGCATCCAGCCTCCAGCCTCCAGTCTGTTGAGATTTCATTCATGACCACTCCATGCCGGTTCGGTTCAGTTCGGTTCATTTTATTCCGCTTCGTTCGGCATTTGGAACTGTCCGCCCACCAGTAACTCCCCCGCCTCCCTTGAGTCCCACCGAAGTCAAGTTGGGAGTGAAACCGAAACTGAAACTGGAACGGACGGTTTCCACTTTTGGACTGTGCCGCCTGCATTTATAATTAGTTCCAAATTTGTCGACGCCACGAGTATATGGTTAGGACCAGGTCCAGGTCCCGGTCCCGGTCCATGTCCAGGTTGGACATTCCCCCTGCCAACTCCCACCTCCCCTCCCGCCGGATTCCAGCTCTAGATTCAAGCACCATATTCGATTTTAATTCATAAAACTGAAATTTGGTCTGGTTTTTCAAAATTGTTTTTGGTTTACTTTTGCTTTTGTCTTACTTGGATTACGAGTACAGTACGAGTATTATTATGTCAGATCGCGTGGCCCCATAATAAAAAGCCACAAAAAAAAAAATAAATAAAAATAATAATAAAATTGGAGCGTGGAATATCGAGTATTTGGGTTTTTGTGTTAATTTTATGTAGAAGTCTGTGGGATGCTAAACGATTCAGTTCCACAATCAATGATGTATTCAATGGCCTCTAGCGGGTAAACGGATTGGATGTGTAAATCAAGACGAGAACCGAACTTTTCTCCTTTGAGATATTGTGGTTAAGGTTCATGTTTTACCCATATGAAACGGTGCTGGATAATGTTTTTATATTCAAACCCACTTGAAAGTTATAAACTCCGACTCCGACTCCAATCCTTAGCATTTCAGAGTATCCGTACGAGTATCCCTCTGTGGGCGCTGATCATCAACAATTGGCGAATGCGATACCGCTGTGCTCCATTCAGTAGAGAACTTGTTGTGGCAATTAGCCGGCGACACGAGTGTCAACATGATTTGACCCCTTCACAGGCATATTTGTATGCAATCAGTTAACAATCAGCGAAGAGCCCAACGGAGCCAAGAGGGGAGTGGAGTGGAGTGGGGGTGACACAAATACAAAGTGAAGCAGACCCTCCATGTGGGCGAAACAGTCAGCAGATTGTGCGCTCAAGGGCAGGATCTGTAGATTTTTACTCAGAGTTTTCTTGAGAAGAAGAAGAAGTTGTTACTCTTTGAAAGGCTCTTCTCCGAGGATGGTACATATGTTATGTGCCATCCCTTTGAGGGATATTCCGTCGATAAGGCCTAGTTCATTTAACGCTGAGCTCGTTTCAATCCGTTCCCACAACTTGGTTATAGCTGATAAATGGATCATGCTGTTAAGCGATTCGAGTGTTGAAAGATGAAATCATCGCCCAACCTGGTACGAATTACAATTAATGTGCAAGTACATTTTCTGTTACATTTCCCTGTTGCTCTGTTGCTCTGTTGCTCTATTGCTCGTACAGTTGTGTTCAAGCTCAGACGCTGTCAAACAGTTGAGAAGTATTGAGTATCTACAAGATACATGTTCTGAAGTTCAGCTTTGCGTGATCCCCCGACTTGGGTCTGTAAATCTGTAAATCGAATGGTGCCCAATCGATTGGTATTTCATGATCTAATTTAAGCCAAGTGCTTGAGCAATGTTAAGATCAATGTTGCTGGGGCTTTGAGAGTGTATCACGTAGTCGCGTGTCTGGCACTCGGAGTGGAATTGATGTCGGTGAGTGCCTTGCAGTGACAGCAGCAATCACAACAAAGTTAGGCAAACGTTTATTCACATTGTATATCAATAAAGTTTACACATGCTTTGCATATTTGCTGCAATTACCAGAGAGAGTGAGCCAGACTCAGAGCTAAACTTGGACTTGGATTCAGTTTCAGACCTAGCCCCAGAGCTAGACTCGGACTTAGACTGGGACTCAGACTTAGACTCCGGAGGCAGCAAAGACAGCTCCGGATAATTGATGATTATGAGTGTGGCTGGCTGACTGGAACTGTGACTATGACTGTGACTGGGACTGCGGCTCTGCCTCTGTCTCTGTCTCTGCCCCTGTCTGCATCGCCATCTCCATCTCCGCTTAAATGTCGTGAGCGTGTTCGGTGTGACACATAAATAAGCCACTATAGATATCATCTGGCTGATAGCCCCAGTTGGTAGTTGGTTGTTGGTAGTTCATAGTGGGGGTTTGTGGGCTTAGAGTCGAATGTGGGTGCCGGTGCCCCCTCGCCAAAGGTTTGGCCAACTCAATTAATTGATGGCACTCACTGCAAATGAGAATCCGAATGCAAATGGCAATAGACTCTGCTTATAAGATGATGGGTGATTGCTGATGGCTGATGCTGATGGCATGCGATACTGTCCCGGAGATACTGTCGACGCCACACCAACGCTAATGACGCCGAGTGCTTGGATACCCTAGCCAGATGGGTATCCCATGATGGATGATGTGAGATTGGGATCTCTTCTCCGCTGCGGCTATGCGGCTATATGGCTGTGGCGCACGCTTTCGGTAGCTGCCACACCCACCCACCAACTACCTTTCAACCTCCTACCACCCACACACACACACACACACACATACACACACAGTCCTATACACTCACCTGGAGAATTGTCGTGCCGCAGCATGGACGCGCCCACGGGGCCGCGCCCCTCCACAGACAGCTCCGAACGGCAATGCCAAAGTATTCATTTGTTTGCCAATCAGCCTGTCAATAATTGTCAACAAGGTGTGACTATGCCAATATTTAATTATTCGATTTCATTCGAATACGACTACAAGTACTCGTACCCGTACAGCACGGACAGCAGGGACAGCAGGGACAGCAGGGACAGCAGGGACAGCAGCGACAGCAGCCACCGACTGCTGTGGTCGGCACGATGATATTTGAATAGGCTTCTAAAAGTCTCGAAAAAACTGACTCCCGATCTATGCCGAATCAATGGGAACTCAACTCAAGAACCAAAGTCAAGCGAATGCCTATTTATTGGTTAAACATGAGAAATGATACTCACAAATCTTTTCTTACCCATTCTCTATTATAAGTGTATGTATATCATTGTGAATTACTTATGCAAGAAGTGCGTGTAATGAATCCTAGAGTCTCAGTTGTACAGCAGTTGGAGAGTACAAACAGAATGCCACAATGCCATCGAAATGGCGAAGATCTTCTTCGCCTTCGCCTAATGAAACGGTCGGACAGACCAAAATAAGGCATTTAGCAATCATCATATTCTGGGCCATAAAAGCCATTTGGATAATTTGATGTGTGTCGGTTATAAAAGCCGAGAGATAATTGCTCTATACTGCCGAGTATCCATCCAGCCATCCGTCCGTCCGTCCGTTCGTCCGTCCGTCCGTTCGTCCGTCCGTCCGTCTTTCCGTCTGTCTGTAAATGTTGGCGCTAAATTGCTCTTTTGAAATTGAGTTGCCTAATAGGAAGATCAGTGATATTTTACCCTTCCATGGGGTGCTATTCATTTGGACAGTTCTTGGTAACGTTCAGAAGGTCAAGTCTATGAAAGGACAGAGTGGATGAGTGGATCTGGATTCTGGTCTGTGTATCCCAATACTTTCCCCAATTTAATTCCCGTCAGAAAAAAACGCAACGAAATCTTTTTTTATAAATTTGTTTTTTTGTTTTATTCTGTGTGTGTGTGTGTTTTTTGTTGTTGTTGATTTTCAATTTTTGTTTCATTTTGTCAACACTAAATTTACGTTATTAGTAAAAGTTTTTCGTTTTAAATATGTTTTTTGCTGGCAATTAATTAATTAAAATTAATCAATCAATTATTATTATATGTAAAATATTTGTATATACGAGTATATGTCTATACAAGCTACAAAAAAAAGATCATACTAATAATAATAATAATAAACATAAAATAATAATAATAATAAGAATAATTTAATAGAATAAAAATTAATACAATTTCTTTCTTTTTCTGCGGTATGCGGTACATCTTTCATCTTTCATTTTTTTTCTTATATTTTTCAAGTGTGTGTTTTATGTGTTTGTGTTCTTTTATGTGTATGTGTGTATAAATATGTGTACATGGCATTTTGTAGAATAATTTTCGCTTTGTTTTTGTTTTAACAAATTAATTTTTGAAAGAATTTCCATAAAATGTATGTGTGCATGTTTCTAAATGTATGTGTGTGTGTGTGTGTGGGTGTGAGTAACAATTAGTAACAAATAATGTTCGTTTTTTCAATTTTTTTTTGTTTTTCGTAAAATAAAAAAAAAACATTCTTAAGAGCTAGTTTTATTTTTGCCATTCAGTCAATCAGTTGAAACTTTTGGGTTGCTCTAAAATAATGCGCCAAATGCGTTTCCCACTGTGTTTTGTTTCTCATAAGTTATAAATATATGTATATATTTTTCGATATATTTATTTTGTATATATAAAAAAATATTGTATATATATATATATATATATATATATGTGTATGTATAATCAGAATAATTAGTTTTCATTAAATATTCCCACAAACTGTTGTATTTTTTACTCTTTCTGCATTTCAAATTGCAATTTAAATTTGTATTTAAATCAATCGAAATATTGAAAATTCTGCTCTCCTACTATCCGTTTTCCTTTTGGTTTTCCATTCAACAAATTGTTTGTTTTTTTAAAACTCAGTACAGTTTAATTTTCGATCGAACTCTCTTTTTTTTTGAATCGTTTTGGTAATAAATTAAAATTAAAATTGTATTTTAATCGTTTTTTTTTTTGTGTTTTTTTTTTGTTTGATTTTTTGGGAGGGGGAAAAGGTGGGCTGGGTGGGATTTGGTAAAAGAAATTCGGAAAATGCTTTTCAAAGAAAAATTCTGCTCTGGCGAATTTTAAAGCAAAACTGCACTGGTTTTTCTTACTCTCTCTCTCTCAATCTCTCAATCTCTCGCTCTCTTGCAAGCTCTCCTTGTGGGTGAGAGGATTCTCTGCCCCCTCTGGGGAGCTTTCCTCCAAGGGTTTCCCTCTTTCTCTCTACTCTCTCTGCTAATCTCTGGAGGAGCTCTCTGGGGTCGATCTCGCTCTTTCCTGCTCTTCCGCTCTCATTCGTTTATATAATACAAGTTTCCATTGTTGCCACAAAACAACAACGATCTATGCAACACCGCATAAGTGTGTGTATGTGTGTGTGTGTGTGTGTGTGTATACGTGTGTGTGGGGTGTGTATCAGGGTATATGTGATGTGTGTATGTAGGTGCCTCTGGCTCGGCCCACACCGCACTGAGTGTGTGTGTGTGCTTGTGTGGCCCAAGAATCCTTCGCTTTCCCGGCGCTTTCCCGGCTGCTTTCCCGCTGCCTTCCCTCTGCTTTCCCGGCTGCTTTCCCGGCTCAATCGGCGCTCAACTGCTGGAGGCGGCGGCATTGGAGCGCTGCTGGTGGTGCGGCTGGCGCTTGTGGTGGCGTCTCGAGCGGCGGCACTGCGTCGAACAGCACTCGTCCAGAGTCGGCGCTGAGTCGGGCTTCTCGAAGATCCGCCGCTTGCTGGAAACTCTTGTCTGCTGCTGGCATGTGGATCGTGAGCAGCGCTTCCGATCGCAGTTCACCTTCGAGTCCTACAAGAATCAGATAAAAACGATGGTCAAGGATTAGTCATTGTCAAATATAAGGCATGAGGCGGTGAGGCATGGGACATACTATGGGACTATATGCACATATGTATGTATCCTCGGATCGAAACTTACCTTGCAGCGGCACTTGATGCACTTCTGTTCGCCGTGCGACATCAGAATGGGATGCCACTCCTGTCCGTTCTCGTAGACCTTATTGACCACCTTGCAGCCACCTGCGGCCAGGACATCCTCGGCACTGTGCTGCGGGGAGCGCTGCATGGCCTGGTCCTGCAGCACGTTGGGATTGTTCGGGGCCGCCTTGCCGCCGGCCGGGCTGCTCTGCTTGCCCTCGGGACAGACCTTGCAGCAGGCCTTCTTGTCCGGTCGGTAGGCCAGCTTCTCGCTGCACTGCAGCGGCGGGCACACGAGCCGCGGGCAGCGGATCTCCAGCGTCAGGGGGTCGCAGCTGCAGGTGGTGCAGGTATCGAAGCCATTGGGCGGCAGGAACGGATGCCAGCTGGCGCCGGCGGCATGGAACTGGTCGCCCAGCCGGCAGCCCCGTCGCTGCTGTTGCAGGAGCAGGTCGCTGCCATTAACAGCCGGCAAGGATGAGGATGCGGATGCGGATGCGGATGCGGAAACGGATGATCCCTGGGGCTGTGTCCAGTCCGAGACGGCGGTCGCCTCTCGCTTGGGCACGCAGCTCGGACAGCATTCGCCGTCGCGCTGCAGCAACTGCTCCGAGAGGCGGCACTTGAGGGGCGGACACTTGATCACCTCACAGTTGGACTGGCCCCGCAGGCAGGCGCACATCTGGCAGGCATCCTGGGCGCTGCGCCACTGCTCGGACTCGTTGTAGAAGCGGCCGGAGTGGAAGCACTTGGTCTCCGCGTTGATCAGGTGGTTGTCGTTGTGGTCTCCGGGCACGGGCACATTGTTGTCGGTGTAGACGGGGAAGCAGTGGGCGGGCACCTTGGTGCTCTTGAGCTTGCCGCGCAGGAGCAGCTGCTTGGAGTGCTTGGAGTGCAGCTCCAGGTAGCAGACGCTCATCTCCAGCTTGATCAGCTCCGCGGAGGGCATGCTCAGGAAGAAGCCCTCGAGGTAGGAGCCGTTGAACTCCTCGAGCAGCTTGCGGGTCACCGGTGCGCCGATGGCCTCGATCGGCTTTTCCTCCAGATACAGCTGCAGGTCCTGCGGCGGCACTCCGCTCAGCGTCAGCTCGTAGTGGAGATTGCACTCGTTGTCGATGGACATCCAGGCCATGCCCATGGCATGTCCGGACTGGTTGCTGCCACTTGCTGCCAGGTGCTCCTGCCGCTTCAGCAGAATGGGCTCGGCGGAGTCGCGGGCATCGGCCACGGGCCGCGGCACCAGGCGGCCCCGGATGAGGCTCGTCTCGTGCTCGGTGCCCACGTTGACGCCCAACTCCCCGGCGTAGAGAGACTCGAGCACCTTGGGGCCGAGCTTCTCCACGCTGCCGATGGCCTGGTTGAAGTTGAAGCTGGGCGTCAGGTCCTCCAGCTTGGCCTTGCGTTTGCCCTGTTCCTCCACGAGGCTGATGTTCGGCCGGTCGCGGGTGTTGACGTGGTCCGTCTCGATGTTGTAGGCCAGCGACCCGTCCGTGTTGAGGTAGACCCAGGCCAGGCCGCTGCTGCGCGTAGCCGACTCGCCGTTGTGCGGCGCCAGCAGGGTCTGGAAGATCTCGCAGCTGGCCCGGGTCACGATGTGCCCCTGGATGCGCAGCTGGGGATACTTCTTCGACTCGACGGTGAGCAGCAGCTTGCCACGGGACATGAGCCGCAGGTTCTGAATGGAGATGGGCGAGGAGAGCTCCAGGACATTGATCTCGGCCGAGGGCTTGCGCACGCGCGGCACCTCATCGAAGATGATCTCCTTGCGCTCCGGCAGCTCGATCTTCACGCTGAGAGCGGCGTCCGCGTACTCCTCCGCCCCGAAGATGCCGTTGAACACGAGGGTCAGGTGCATGGAGGAGGCAGCTCCACTGCTGGTCGAGACGATGGCCGTGCCACCGGCTCCGGTCAGCATCGGATCGAACTTGCCGCCGGGCTGGCTCTGGGGCGGCTCCAGCAGCGAGCTGAACAGCTCCGTCTGCAGGGCCGTGTACTTGGCTATCTTTCCGGCCAGGGCCAGTTCCGACTGGTGCTTGTTGCCCCACAACAGGACCACGTGGAGGCGGTCGTCGCGCAGGATGCGCTTGTAATCCCTGGGCACGCGGCGCCACACGCCGCAGATCTTGCCAGTGGCATTCTGGTAGACGCTGAGGGTGCCCGTGAGGGTCGTCTCCAGCTGGTGCTCCTCGAGTATGACGCCGGCATCGTCCACGAACTGGATGGCCCGCGGACGCCCAATGCGCGACGATGTGTAGAACGAGTAGTAGAGGTTCTTCTTGTGGAACAGGAACCGGGCGGTGGCCACAATGTTGTGCGGATTGTAGGTGGTGTACATGGACTTCATTTCCTCTCCCTTGAGGAAGTACGATGTCCGGCCCGTCAGTAGCGCAGCGTAATCTAAAGGCAGGAACGGGATGAGAGAGATGGTTTCGAGATGCGGAGGTTAGCTTTTGGAGACGATGATGGGTGGAAGGGTGGATGGGAGGATGGGTGGAAGGGTGGATGGTATGTTTGGGTGTTTGTTTAATCTCTACTTACGTTTCATGTTGCGCTCCTCCTCCTCGTTGGGCACTGGCACATCCAAGGCCACATCCGTATCTGCAAATGGAAGGAAGAGAAAACGAGATTCTGTCAGATACAAGATAAGCCATAAGCGACACGACCTTAAATGGAATTTAGATGGAAACAAATGCTTCAAAGCAATGCACCGCCCCCTAGGAATTCCTCCTCCTGCTGCTCTGCTGCTCAACTGCTCTCTCGATCCGAATGAATGAATGAGTGAATGGCTGAGTGAATGGTGAGTGAATGGCTGGCTGGCTGCAAAGCGGATGCCACATAGATCCTCAATCCTCAATGAATGGCGGGGATCACAGGTAGAGAGAGGCGGCCAGGTCGGGTCGGGTCGCCTCTCTACCCAGGTGGCATTCATTAATCGTGCATAAATTGAGGCCAGGTAGAAGCCCTATATTCGTATGGCCAGTGAATGCCAGAGAATGCCAGAGAATTCCTGGCTTCCAGATTCCTGGAATCCACATGACACGCTCATTTGCTGCTTGGCGTGAAAGTAGGTGGACACATTTCCGGGGCACTCGGCAGGGGACTTGATTGACACCAGCCCAGCGAGGTCTGAGGCCCAGGCCAGAGCGAGAGCCAGAGCCAGAGGCCACATAAATCACCTTCAAAACCATCGCCATCAGCGGCTCTCGGCATTCGGCATTCGGCAGTCGGCATTCGGCACTCAGTATTCGGCACTCGGCATTCGGGTCTCGGATCTCGGTGGTTCGACGAGGTCTCTGAGTTCGTTAGAAGTGGCAGCAGCCTGGCAGACGGCTGACGGTTCCGACAAAAGCTGATTAAAGCGAACCTGGGATGCCCTTTGAGGAGCAGTCTCTCCCTCTCTCTCTCTCTCTCTCTCTCTCTATCAGTCTCTCATACAACATCATTTAGCATTCGAACAGTGCCATTCCATTCGATCCCATCCCATGCCATCCCATCCGAACCGTACCTTACCGATCCGATCCTCTCCTTCGTTAGCTGCTGTCGATGATGCTGCATTGGCATTTCGATTATTTTATGCTGCTTCGCTCCTTCTCGAAGACCCACAACCCCAACCCCAACACCAAGACCAAGCTCAATCCCGTCCTCGCCCGAACCCAACGTTCAGCGTTCAGCGTTCAGCGTTCAGCTCTCAGCTCGTAAGCCGCAAAAAATGTGAAAAAGAATACTCGAACAGCAGACGGGAAGGGAACTTCTTGCCGCCATCGCATAATGAAGGGCGACAAATCTGACACCTTGTATAGCATTTTATTGAGCCCCGGACGAGGCCCTGGCTATGTGGGCTCTGTGGGCTCTGTGGGCTCTGTCTCTGTCTCTGGACCCTAGCCCTGGACTACGGTGGCGGCGGCTGCTGTCCGATCTTATCGCCTGATCTTAATACGAGCCACTTCTGGACTGGGCTGTACTGGGCTGTACTGGGCTTTACTGGCCTGGACTTGACTGGGGGAGCCGCGTTTGGGTCTTCTTGGTGTCGGTTTTGGCCTTTTCTTTATTTCTTTTTCAATTTGTGGCTCTACATTCTTGGGGCTTATTGGTCCGGGCCAGGCCAGTGGTCCAGTGGTCGCAGGCCGTGGTCGGACGGACAGTGGCATCTGCCCTTGAATCGCGCTTGCAGATGAATGAAATTTTTAGTTTCGTTTTTGTGGTCTCTTCTCCGCTGTAAGCCAAGATAAATGAGTTTCGTTCGGGCACAAAGACGACGACACGTTGCCCATCCATGACACAGGTAAAATGGTAAAGGGAACGCGATGGCGATGGCGATGGCGAAGGGGACGGTGAGGAGTGCAGTGGAGTGGAGTGGAGGGGTAAGCGGACGGCGGACAGCGGACAGCGAAGCCGACAAAGCCAAGACCGAAAGACAAACGACACCTCGGCATTGACTCAACGCTTTGGTATGTGGTGCCCCCCCACCTCCCCTCCGCAGTCCCTGCATCTGCCCCAAAAGAATCTCAGGCGGCGGCAGCTCATTAACAAAAATCGTTTGAAAGTGTTTCTCTTCAAATGGGGGGCAGAATGTGTGTGTGTTACACATACACATACCCACTCGGACAGAGATGGACAGAGACAAGGGAACGAGTTCGAGTTTCGAAAGAACGGCCAAAAGCACGTGAGGGCCATGGCCAAGAAGAGCGGATGGGCATGCTCCTTGGGATTCTTTGGCCTGGAAATCTGCCCAAAGTGTTTAAGAGTCCTGGCAGTGCTAGAAATAGTGAGCATTTCATCCCATAGTTATTCAACTCTTTCTTTCTTTTACCGTTGCCGCAGTTCGATGCCCGAGATCCCCCCCACTCCCGATCTGCACTAATCTGCTCTCTCTAACTCTCTTCCCTATCTGGTAGATCATTTGATTTAGATAGAACCCCCAGCCCCTTGTTAGCTCTATTTCTCGAGGCTTATCGCAGAACCGAACCGAAAATCTCCACTCTACAAAAAAACAAGAGACCGAAAGAAGGTTTTTACCCGCTGCCTCGCTGCTCTGAAGAGGTAGGAAGAGTGCGGGGTGCGGGGTGCGGTGTGCGGCGGAGAGACGTGCTCAACATAATAGACGGTTCCGTTGCCGATGCAGAACCGATAAAGATAAAGATAAAGTTGAAGATTTTATTGTTCGATGGCGCACCTCACGCCCGGCCATAAAAATGAATTTGGTTCAGTCGATCCTTTTGTGGTGGCAGGCAGACGGAGAGAGAGAGAGTGGCCCATCCCGAACCCTGCTACAAAGTTGCTGGGAAAGACGATCCTCCGACGACCGTCATATCCCAACTTGGAAGGGAATGTGCTACATGGTACATAGGGCAGCGGGAAGGGAATGGAAGGGTGGGGACACCAACCAAGAGCCAAGAGCCTCACCACAAAAGATGTCATCAAGTTCGGTTCGCTTAATGGCAGCAGCGGCAGCAGCAGCAGCGATTGGAATCGATTGGAATCGAAAAACATTAACTTTTATTGTCTACCTGGGGATATACCCCGCTACTCTGCCCCCTGCCCCCCTGCCACTCCATCCCCTGTGTCCGTTTGGGACCGCCCGCCGTTTGTGGCGGCAAATGAGATAATTTAATAAGCGTTAAAATGCTCGAGTTATGTCATTATAAAAATGAACGAATGAAGAACGAAAAAAACCACAGAGCCCTGGCATAAATTAATGCTCCACAGAGCGGAGATGGAGCAGATGGATTGGATCGCCTGGAAAAGAAAGAGAGAGAGGGAGAGGGAGAGGGAGGGAGAAGAGCCAAAAGATTCGATCCCAAAATGGACATTTAACGAAGGAAGGCAATTGCTGATGTTGATTATATGGCCATGTCATGAGCTTCAGGCTTCAAGCAGCAGCCCCTGCTCCGGCTCCGGCTCTGGCCTCGGCTTCGGCTTCGACTTCGGCTCCGGGCCAGGGCCTGACAACCACAGTGGTGTCGCACTAAGAGCAACGGCCGCTGCTTAGAGCCCCTCGCCGGGCTGCACCACTCGCGAGGCCTGACTGTAAGTCAACTATGAGGCAGAAAAAGCCAAGTTAGGCACAAAATAACTTTGGAAAACGATCGCTGCAAGTGGTTGCGACTGCTGCTGCTGATGATGCTGCGAAATATTTGTACAATAGCTAGCACCCGGGGAGGGGATTGGGATGGGATGGGATGGGATGGGATGGCCAATGGATGGCCAATGGATGTCCATCGGATGGCCAACTGGCTGACTGGCTGACTGGCTGACTGCGTGAGAGCCAAAGAGTCTCCTCTGGAGCTGGAGCTGGAGCCGCGCCCGTGCCTTCTAACTATTTATGGCAAACGAGTTGCAAGTTCGGGGAGTTGGGAGTCGAGTCTTTTTCAGTGGCTGCCTCTTGACGTGGCTCTGGCTATGGCTCTGGCTATGGCTCTGGCTTTTGGCCAAAAAGAGAAGAGAAAAGCTACAAAATAACTCAAGAAAAGTGAAATTGTGCGATCGGTGGGGGGTGGGGGTGGGGAGGGTGCAAGGGTGATCGCAGTAGAAGGTCCCCGACGGGGTCAACGGCTCTTTGCATAAGCAAATGAAAAATTGCCACAAAACGGAAACTAATGATGTGATGCCACCAGCCGATCCACCCGGCAGTCCCCCTGACCACCGACCACTGTCCACCGACCACCGACCACCGACCACTGTCCAACAGCCATACCCATACCCACTTCCATTCCCGTTCGGTGGCAGGCAACCAGTTTGCCCCATGCCACACAGGCAACCACCGCAGGCTGAAGCTTTGGGGACGGGGACTGGAATTCAGGCAGCACTTGTGCCTGATTATGTGAAAAATGTCACAAAGAGAGGGAGAGAGAGAAGAGTAGAGAAAGAGAAAGAGAGAAGAGCAGAGCAGAGAGCGGAGAGCAGAGTGCAGAGAGAGACAGAGTCAGAGATCTCTGGCCAAAAGCCGTTCTAATTGTGAATTCAATTCAGGCAGAAAATTAGCCAAAGCCAAAAGTGATTCAGTGCCTGGCTATGCTCCTCCATATACCCAATCATAAATTATATATATGTACATGTACATATATCTGTATATAGTATATAGAGAGGTCTGACAGCTGCCTGAGTGCGATATTTTGCTAAAAAAGAGCCCCACCCCGCCCCGTTCCACATCACCCCCTGCGATGGGTAGGCCAGTGTTTAGCTTTAAATTCAGAGAGCCGATACATATAGATATACATATAGATACATATGTATATATATAGAGAGAGAGAGGTAGTCCAGACTTTGTATCCCTCTGTTATTGGAGAGTACAGTAATTGATCTATTAAAGCCTCTCGAAATGCGGCACGTGCGCCCCCATTGGGACCCCTTTCCAAATGGAATACTTGAAATACTTTTCGGGGCTATATGCCGCTGGTATTGCCTGTATTCCGATAATACAGCAACAACGTTGGGGCGCCGTTCGTTCGGGCGATATAAAATAAATTGAGAATAAAACAAAGAGAATACAAAATAAATAAATGCAAAAGTCGCCAAAAAAAAAACCCCAACAAAAAGCAAAAACAAAAAAAAAAAGAAGCAGGAGGGTGGGGGAACTGAGGGCTGAAGATGGGCGCCGATGGCATGGCATGTATGCCATGCTCTCTATAATGGTATGCTAAGTAGTGGGGACCCAAGGAAGAGGAATCATCATCATCCACCAAATGGAGGGGGACACACGGTGGCGACGGGGGACGGGAGACACTCGGACAGACGCTGACTGAGACATAAAAACGAAATATAAATTGCGTAGCGTTGACCTTCATTTCGGGCCAAGTAATTTTTCATAAACAATTTACGCGTTTCGGCCACCAACTCGGCCATGTATCAGACAGAGAGAGAGAAAAGATGGGGCGGGGGGGAGATGAGATGGACACCGCCGATGAGCATCATAGCATCATCTTGTTTGTGTGGTGTCCCACTCGTCGTCTGTCCACACACAGGCAGCTGCCGTGGATGCTACGCTTAATTATTCATGGCTATATAGAAGAAGATCCCCCCAGATATACATATGTACGCATGGAATTGGCTATACTCGTATGTATATCGAGACAGACAGAGAGACAGAGAGCGAGAGATGTCTGATCTGTGGGCAGATTCCATCTAATCCAGATTTATACGATCAAACAGATCTCTGGGCAGCAGCCATTCCGACGGGGCAATTGCAAGTGTCAAAATATTGAAACATATCCCCGAAATTTATGGCCATGAATCAGTTTTTGGAAAAAGGTTGCGTTGCGTTGCGTTGCGTTGCTTTGCGATGCGATGATTTACCATCACATCTCAATAGAGCAGTGGTAATGAGGGTGGATTGATTGATTTGATTGGCAGTAGTATTTCCCCCGAACTATGATGTACTTACCATTGCGATCCCCCGGACAGGTCTTGCAGCACTTGCCGGGCAGCGAGATGGGATCGTCGCACTTGGCCGGCGGGCACTCGTTCTTAATGTTGCGACACTGGACGCGTGCAACGATGCGGCGCTTCTTGGGTATCTGGAAGATGGTGCAAGCAGAGCCGGGAGAGAGATTAAAATAAAGAAACCACCAGCTAATTGGAATTAGTGTTCGGTTCGGTTCGGTTCGGTCCAGTCCGGTCGTAATGCAGATTCCCAGGCCTGTCACCTGTCACCTGTCTGTGATTTATGCCACTTGTTAGCAACAGAAACAGCAACTAAATCTAAATCTAAATCTAAACTAAGTCAGGCGGCGGCCGCTGCTTAATATAAAGTTTATATAAATATAGAAATCTACGAATACTCGTACGAGTATATGCACGTTTTTTATAATTATTGTATATTTTTATGAATTTGCTGGTAGCTTTCTGGTGGCTGCTGTTTGTCTTTTTGATGTTCCTCTCGGTGGCTTTTTATTATTAATTTTTATTGGTTGTTGCTGCCGCTGCCTTGCCGCTTGCTGTGCCTTAAAGTTCAAGCGGCGGCCGCGGCAGCAACATGTTTTAAATAATTTTATGATGTGCTCATTTGCGACGCTTGCAGCCAACATAAATTATCATTAATTAATTTCCAAGCTGACTTTTATGCAATGCACATTAAAAATTAACGAAAAATATATACCTGAATATACTCGTACTCATTCTCAAACTCGCATGTATCCATCCATCCAGACAGACAGACAAACAAACAGAAAAGCAGGGAAGCAGAGAAACAGACTTCTATATATGTAAGTAAGTCCGATATAGTATCTTTGAATAGTGTATATGTGCGTATACGGGTATACGGTATGTACATATGTATATCTGGCCCCTGTCTGGCCTTTCGCAGACAACAACAGCAACAACACGACGCCAAACAGCCTGAAGACCTGATGGCGTCAATTAATTTTTCTGTCTCCCGACGACGTCCCTATAGCTTCTATCCATCCCGTCCCATCCCATCCCCACTCGAGGACACCACACACGAGTGTGGCAACAGCGAGAGAGAGAGAGGGTGCAACATTATAGTATTCATCTTTGCGGTTGCGTATTTTTTTGCGTAACTCGATCGAATTCGGCCATAGGAATGCCAGAATGCCAAAATGCCAGAAATTGTTTTTCGCCGATTTGCAGGCAAAAGAATATTTGGCTCTGATCCGTAATATATCGCCAGAACGGGCTTTCAAATCGATATTAATCATGCGTGGAAATGCCATAAATTAGGCGCGTCCCGAAACCGAAATGAAAACACAATCATTTTCATTCGCAGTTTGCTGTTCGGTTTGCTGTTTGCTGTTTTCTGTTTGCTGTTTTCCTCTGTCATTTCTTTTTTGGCATTTGGCTTGTACCGAATGTCGACGGTCATTAGTCAATCGGCTCTAAAGGCATATCGGCCGGGGCCATGGGATGCCCAGTTCTGCTTTTGTGTCCTAGTACTAGTACTTCTATAGAGTCTTATCGAACTGATCGTTTACTTACCGCCACGCATTCGCATTTGATGCAGTACATCACCCCGAAGGGCGGTCCCAGATCCGCATACCAGGTCGAGCCCAACTCACGGAGAACTTTGCCAAACTGACATTCGGTAACTGAAAAAACAAAAAAGATAAAAACCAAAATTAATTTCCTCAATTGCCATGTACGGATCTCTGTATATGGTATACTATATGGTACTATATATGGTATATGTATATGTGTATGGGTGTGTGTGTGTGTGTGTGTGTGTGTTCAGGTTGCTCTGGCGCCAGTCGATTGCAATTGCTTATATACGGAACAGCCGATGCCTATATATCACCGACTGGCGCGACTGGGGGACTGATGATGATGCAAAGCGAGGCTAGTACTCGCACTCGCACTCGCACTCGCACTCGTATTTACAATATACTCGTATATAGTATGTAATAATAATGAAAATCCATAAACCAAACGACAGACGCCCACAACGAGTGCGCCAGAAGGGGGCCAGTCGAGAGTATTGTCAGTCGATCAACAACTAATTAACTTCAATCGAACAACTCTCAATTGATTGGGGTCCCAGGCCAGTGATCCACATCACAGAGATGGAGACAGGAGAAACAGGAGGGACAGGAGACAGGAGACAGGAGACAGGAGACTGGACTCTGATTCAGATTCATATCCAGACTCCGATGCGGTTTCGGGTGGGCAGCAATCGAAATTGCCATCTCGTTGCAGCCATGAGAACGTTTTCAGCCAAAAGCTGCAACATCAGCAGCAGCCACATGCCAGAGACGGCTGCGGCACCAGCATTCTGTGGCGCCACATTCGTTGAGAGGCGTTGAGGCAGCGCTTCCGGCAGCGTTTTCAATTACAAATGCAAAAACCCAAAGGCGATGGCAAAGGCGATGAAGAAGCGCCACCAACTGGGACGCTCTGCTGGGCGCCAACAAGTGTCAAATGGCGGGATTAGCTGCGGAATGGGGCTGGGGCTGGGGCTGGGGCTGGGGCTGGGGCTGGGGCTGGGGCATGGGGACATCAACAACAGAAGCAGCAGCAGCAGCAGCAGCAACCGATTCGATAGTCTCAATTTCATTAGCAGCCTCTTCTTTTTTTTCTGTGTGTGATTTTTGTGATTTTTCAGATCGTTAATTGGCTGCGCGCGCGGCATAGTCACGGGCACGGGCACGGTCACAGGCACAGCTTTGCACAAAATGCCACAAATCGTATGCAAATCGAAGACTGAAGCGGCGAGACGAGACGCGTTAAATTATTAATATATTTTAATTACCAACACACTCGCGGCATCCCATCGCATCGCATCGAAATTATGCTAAAACTCTTGGCGCCACTCATAAAAAATGTAAACGAATCGAGTCATCGAAATGAAACAAACCGAAAAGCAGCCCAAAAGAGCCCCCAAACCCCAGCCCGAAACCCGAAAGCCGAAACTAGACACAGCCAAAAAGACCAAAATTGGGCAATTTTGTGCTGTTGCTTTGGCAATGAAATGGTTTTTGGGACTGCCGGCGGCGACGGGGAAAACAATTAGGAAATGGTAGGAAAACTCATTTAATTACAGTATGCGAAAAGCCCAGCGGAAGCGTCTAAAAGCGCGCTCGAAACGCAGGGAAAACGCGCGCTGGGAAGCCGCAAGGAAAACGCGTCCAAGTCCCAGAAATTTGCACAAATTTGTAGGAAAATCTCAGCCGAGAATGATGTTGAAAGAAGAACCCTGGAGAAGAACCCACTATCCATAAACAAGCGAGTACAAGCAAAGATATGAAACACCTGTGCTGTCTGTCCCTCGTAGCCCGTAGCCGCTTATCACCGGCGCCCATTACTCCACATCATTCACAATTCCATATCTCTTTGGCGTTTTCACATGTGCTCGCCAAAAGGAACAGAGAAACGGCAAAAGAGGAGATGAAGGGCAGGCAGGGCTGGGCTGACAATAACCTAATTAACTAAATACACGTGATTGCGATAGCGGGCTACCTTGCTGAACCAGAAATTTTGATGCAATCGAACCACCCACCCAGCGGCAGAAGCGGCAGAAGCAGCAGCAGCAGTAGCAGCAGCCGCAGCAGAACCCCTGACGGACACTCTGTCGGGGCGCCGTGGCGTATACGTGATAAGTGGCGCTAACGACGCGCGACGTTTATCAATTTTGTTGTAGCTGTTTTTGTTGCTGCTCTTGTCATTGGCGCCAGTTTTATTTGCGTGCGAAACAATTTAAATACGACTACAAAAACAACATCAGCAGCAGCAGCAGCAGAAGCAGCAGCAGCAGAAGCAGCAAAACAATGAGAGAATAATCCCCGCGCAATAGATTTATAAGTAAAACAAAAACAACAACAGCAACAGAAAAAAACCCATATAGTATAGTACTTTTTTGTCTGTGTGCAAGGCAGCAGCTCCAGTGGGAGGCGATAATCTCCCAGCAATGTCCGTTAATCGCATTCCAAGAGACCCGCGATCTGCAGCATGGATCGCATATAGTACACGGATCGGATCGGTGCACTCCCCAGAGGATTTCTGAAGAAGTGGCATTTTGGCAGGGGAAAAGGTAGCAGCGCAGACAATGGTCTCCCATTAAGGATCTAAGATCCAAGCAATCACTTGAAGATCGATGTTCTGGTGGAAGCTTATCGATTAAATATCGATTCCACAAGAGAAGGACTTTGTTTTCACGTAGAACTTAATAAGAAATCGGAATGGAAACTAAATTCTTTCTCACCCTTCGGAATCCACTTCCTGTTTTCATTTCTAAAATTTGTCTAGCCGAAAAAAACAACAATAGCCAGAAAATACTCATGGAATCCGGAAAATTCTGTTTCTGGTTCTGTTTCTGCTTTTGCTTTTGCTGATTTGTTGGAAAAATAGTTCAATTGTTGTTTGTTTATGCTCTTAATAGAGTAACATTTTTGACGGATTGCACTGTTGGTGCTGTCGTTCCAGGCCATTTGTGATTTATGGCCGTTTTGTTGCGATTCGCAGCATTCCCATTCATTGAAAAAAGACCCGAACGTGCAACGAACGACGGAACGAAACGGCGGAGCAACGAAACAACGAAACAACGAAATGAAATGGGAAATATGCCTGTAAATAAATTACACACATTTTGATCTGCCACAAGGCTGGATGCGGATGCGGACGCGGAGGGGGCGGGGGGCAGGGGGCTGGGAAGGAGGCTGCAGCGTGGGCGGACAGCCTGCCACACACAAGTGCATTCCACACACACACACACACGCACACACAGATGCATCTGCACATGTATTTGGGCTTATTTTTAAGTTTAATTTAAGACGAAATGTCTAGAAATAAATTGTATCTTTTTCTGTTGTTGCTGTTGTTGCTGTTGTTGGCAGTGCATTGGACTCAAGCACGCAAAAAGGAGAGAGACAGAGAGGCAGCCAGTGGGGGCAGAGAGAGCGAGAGCGAGAGTGAGAGTGGAGCAAAAATTGCAACAATTTACGGACTGCAGCAGCAGCAGCCACCGCAACTTGAAAGTGTCTGGGCAAACATTTGCAGCCTACGAATCATTAGCAAACAAATGTTAAAAATAATAATGCCCCCGCTGGCCCCCGCTGGCCCCCTGCCCCCCTCGCATGCAGTTTTGGGCAGGCGACAAAAGTTTTCAAAGATGAGATCATTCGTTGCCGAAACTAAAGGAAGAGGAAAAGAGAAAGGACACTCCTTTGCTGAAAGGAGAAGCGTGTCAATTTGGACCATGGACTTTTTGGTGTGGTGTGCCATTGTGGTGCGGTATGCTCTGCATAAAGACAGCAAAATATACATATGTATCTCTTTTTTGTGCTTTACAATGTGCTAATTACAGTCAAAAGAACAGCCACACCACCACACCACACCAAACCACACACACGTGGGACGGAAGACAGAAGACAGAAGACAGAAGAGGGGCAGATACAGATACTCGTACTACATGTGTCATCGGTGGTTCTGCTGCTGCTGTGGCCACCAGGCTGTGGCTGTTGTTGTTGCTGTGGCTGTTGCTGTGGCCAAAAGGAAAACGTACCACAGATATTTTCGCCTGGCAATTGTGATTGTTGCCAAATGCGTTGCTGCTGGTGCTGCTGATGCTGATGCTGATGCTGCTGCCACACTCTATAGTACTGTACTGCTGTGGTTGTTGCTGTTGTTGCAGTGACTCACATGACGCAGAACCAGAACCAAAACGCCAGCGACAGCGTCGAGTTGTCGGCTATTTTTTGTAGCAGCAGCAGCAGCAGCCGCCGAATGAGATAGGTAGGGTAGACTATGGCTATGGAGAGAGACAGCGAGACGGGGGGACAGACAGAGTGCCTTTGAAAATTTTGGCGCTCGTACGCGCTTTTAATTGAGTTAAAAGATCAGCGGAGATCAGTGGATATATCGTATATAGAGCAGGCCAGGCAGGCAGGCAGGCAGGCAGGCCGGCAGGCCGAAACTGTTTTTATTTATTTATACACACACACACACGTATGTATATCATGCAATATATAGCATATATATTGGATGTATCTATAAGATATATATGTGCATATTTATTTATCTGGCCTTTTTGTGGGTTGGATCTTGTTTAATGTTATTTTTATTTTGCGCCTTAATTAATTGTGGCAAAATAATTAGCGCAAATGTTAAAGCTCAACATGGGATATCATAAAATTCAATGAAAAGAAAAGAAAACCTGCAGATACACAGACACATATGAATATAATCAAAGAACAGTATGTATCTATCTGTATCTATCTGTATCTGTATCTGTATCTGTATCTGTATCTGTATCTGTGGTACTACTTTGAGGAATGGGTGGACTGATTTCTTTCTCTCTTTGAATGACTCGGTCCGATTCCGTTGCTCCTTTCGGTGTGAGTTGCTTCAAATTTGACAGCTACGAGTGTTGGCCTGTCAATCAGTCCATCAATCAATCGAATCTGCCCTCAAATGAAAACACAGCGGCACACAACAGAGAACAAAACAAAACGAAACCGAATCAAACTCCGATAAAAACCCAACAGATATACATACATACATATGTAGGTGTATCTGGGTATCTCTGTATCTGTGTGTTTGTACAAATGGTTCACGAACTGCGAACCAGTTCGGTCCGCCAGTTATTTGTTTTATAAGC